GGCAGCAATCCAGCCTGCCAAGTTTGTTTCTCTTTAGTCAAAGCGTTGACTTCTGCAAGAAGGGCGTGGCACAAGCAGTTTCTTTTATAGTCTGGAGAGGAGCTTAATGACCATCAGCTGAACGTAATTACCTCCTGTAATTACATAGTTGTTCTTGACGCCGAGTAGCCCTTTGACGGCGTGCATCCCAAAACAACTCAGTTGGTTTCTGGATCACTCTCTCTTGTCTCTTCCCACTAATCCAAGGCTCAGGCGCCACCTAGTGGCCAACCAGTCTCTCTGAGCCCTGCTCGGAGTCGGGACCCTGTCCAGGGTTCTCCACATCCTCCAGGGCTGACTCATAGGGCCCCTCGCTGTCGGAGTCTGGTGGCAGCTCCAACGGCTCCTGCTGGGCCACAACACATATGTATCTTAAAAGCATTCACTCCTCTTTAATTGTCAACAATATCTATTATGATCTTTACAATATGTAAATTTCAGATCTAAATTCTTAATATTACTCTGTCCTCTGTATATAACATCCTCATTTAGCAACTGAATTCCATTCCAATGATTGTTGTTTAGCGAAATGGCCACTGTGACTCAAAATACTATTTATTCAATCAATGACCAATAACTTTGATAAAAAATGGACCAAAGTAAAATAAATTAGATGATATAAAATATTAGATAAAATATAAAATAACAAATAAAAAGTGTAGTATACACTACTAAAATGGTGTGTTAATTCCTGAGCAAGTGTAAATCTAAAATGTTACTACAGAACCTATGAAATAGAAACCAAAACACTTAAAACAAGATAGTTTTATTAATGACAAATAAAACAGAAATTGTCATTTATGTGACCAGTTATGCTTATTTTAATTGTGGCAACACAAAATTTGGCTGCTGCATATGAGAAAGTGTTCTAAACGTATTCTGAAGATAGTTCACATAAAAGGTGTCTGTCTGTCCTGGAGATTTAGATATTAAAGGCAAAATATAAGCAAACCTGATACTCCTATGGAATTTACAATGTAATAACACAGGTGATCAAAATGGTTTTGATCTCCTTGTCACCACAGGGGCAGCTCTGCTCAGTTAATGGGATTTTGGAATATCTTCCTCGCAGCAGTATAGACGGTAAAATATTATTCTGGCATT